CCTCTGCATGCACCAAGCTCAAAATACCCAGCTTTGCAGCATTAATTACTATGGTATAACATTAAAACTGATTCTCAATGTTATTTCCACAGATCATGTTGAAGCTGGCGGAAAGGCGGATGTCGCCTGTTATTTGGACACAGCCCAGATCTTCCGACGTAAGCGTGACGTATGCGGTGCTTGCTTTCTAGACCGACAAATGTGTGGTGCTTGAAACGAACCGGATTCCGGAGCTTAGAGGCAGCTCCGCTGCGGAGTGAACACGAAAAACCGGTGCTTTTCAAGCTCCAGCTCCGAACCGGCCCTGGAAGGGGCATTAGTGTCATCTTGTTTTTTAAATGAGATTCCTCTGTCTCCTTGTAGAATCACATGTAAGATAGACCCTCCAGAAAAACGCGATGCTGCGAATTTACCGCATTATCAGCAAAATGGCGCAGATTTTTAAAAGGCCGCATATTTATCAAAAGGCCGCATAATCCCCGCATGTTTTCACACAAATTTGAGGGGAAAAAAAGTTAACTCGTCTTGACGTGAAGTAGTGATGATAATGATGATGCGACGTCATCAGCTCGCGCATCACAGAAGGTAAACAACACCGTAGAGTGAACGTGTGGAGCTCACACTAGAGAGAAAACACCAAGATGAAAACATCTAATCCATCTCATTTACCGACGAACATTTCTGCTAAAGACCGGGCAAAGCAGTACCCCGATGTCTTGCACGAAAGTGGGGGGAAACTATTCTGCACCCCGTGCAACTGTGTTGGAGCATAAGAGAACATCGACGGTGACGACCCACTTTGATTCATTCAAAGATTTGAAAATGCTTTCTGCTGCTGCGGACTAGAAAGCCAAACAACTCACGTTCACCGAGGCATCAACCTCCAAAACCCTTTCGAGGGCTACAAGAAACGAGGTGAGTAGCCTACAAGATTGAAGCTGGTCAGATAACGAACAAGTAAATGAAAACAGAATGAGGCGGAGAAGTGTGTGTGTGTGTGTGTGTGTGTGTGTGTGTGTGTGTGTGTGTGTGTGTGTGTGTGTGTGTGTGTGTGTGTGTGTGTGTGTGTGTGTGTGTGTGTGTGTGTGTGTGTGTGTGTGTGTGTGTGTGTGTGTGTGTGTGTGTGTGTGTGAGAGAGAGAGAGAGAGTGTGATTAAAATAGCCCAATTGCTTTTACAATAAATAAACATTGAATGTGTTCAATTGAATAGTAAAGGGGTTTAACGTTAGTGGCAGGTTGTGTGTGAGAGAATAAATAAGACAGCCCAATATTTCGCAAATCCCGCAATTTCACCGCATAAAATCATGCATGTTTAATCGCATAATCAAGGATTTTTGCCCGCGTTTTTCTGGAGGGTCTAGTAAGACGAGAGGAGGAGCCATGTTGGCCAAATGGAAGCTCTGTGTATTTGTTGTTTATGATGTAAGACAGGGTGGGGCTGCATGTTGAAAGCAGCTGAAGCCAGCAGAATTATGAGGACAGAGGACTATGTAACACAAACTACTAGGCATAGGACACATTTAGGCGTATAACAAACACAGACGCTGGATTTAATGAATTTTCACTGCAAGTATCTTCTTCACAACATGTGCAATTACCCGCCTGCATTGTGAGACTAATAGCAACATCATTAACAACAAATGCTGTGTAGCCTTGTTATAATGGCCACTGTCATAGACACAATTGTTATATAATGTGCTTCACTTTGCTTCGCCACAGTATCATCTGAATACAGCTCACCTTAACCAATGGGGAATGGGACAGAGTTGAAGAAGACATATTATGTTATATATTATGTTTGATTAGTATTATGTGCCTCTTTCACTTTTCTCCATGCTTTAATGTTCAAAAAGCTCTTTATTTTTCTCATACTGCAGCAGCACTTCTTTTCACCCTCTGTCTGAAACCAGAGCCCAGTCTGCTCTGATTGGTTAGCTGGCTGGCTCGGTTGTAATAGAGTGGTGCAGTGACGAGTCCTAAAACCCGAAAATGAGTTGGCATTTTACCACTACCGGTTCCCTCGTCTCAGAGCCAATGGGATCTCTCCATAGGATTTTGGAAAATAGCTGGAAATAAGGTCTGTGGTTGAGACACATTACGTTTTGTTCTACGACATTAAATACATCAGCAGTGACCCCACTGGTGATTTTTGAAGAGTTTACGTGTCTGAAAAACGATGGTTGTTAACAAGTGGCTGAATAGGACTACAGAAGTTGTCGAGGACGTTGTACGTCATTACACCGAACACGTAAACACTCTAAGTTTGTTTGCCCCTGTTCTGCTTGAAAGCAAGTCCCTGCCTCCTGCAAACTGTTAAAACAAACGCTTCAACTTGTACAATTTTGAATCTGTATTTTTGAATATCGATCTTAAGTTGTGTGGCCGCTAATTTGTTTGTATCTTGTCGTCCGACCCTGCTGTACACGGCTGTAGTTCGTTTATAGCATAACGTTAGCATTTTGCTTCTGGCGATCCGATTTATGATTCGAACATTTTAAAAGTAGGGTAGACATGTGGATATTATCCGGCTGAACAAAACGTGCATTTATCTAACAGGTTTGTTTTCCACAGACCTTATTTCTGAGAAATCCCATTGCTTTGTTGTCGAGGGAACCCATGCGCAGCTTACTTCCGGGTAAATATGTCATCCCTGCACCACTCTATCGGTCAACCGCTTAGAGATGTCCCGCCCCTTTGCCTATCTTGTAGATTGTGATAGAGTGAAGCGCAATATAAGTGTAATGATGTCACTATGTTCTGCAAGTTAACAAAGAAGTCCAATGGAGGTGTTTCAGGAAGGGGGGGAGGGGTGTTTGGGAGATGATGTTAGCCTTTGCAGACCATTTACATGCACAACAACCTATATAACACACTACAGGAAAGTGAAAACCACCAACAGGAAAGGGCCTCTTTAAAAAAGCAGAATGTATTGAAAGACAGGCTAACAGGTTGTGGTTTTATTGTCTCTTTCATTAGATTGGTTTACAATAACAAGGACATATCATATGTGTCCTCTAATATTGCGACTTCAGTTACTTGCTCTTCTTGTGATTTTCTGTACTGTTTGTGTTGCTGCCAGGTCACCACTGTTCAGGTTCTTCCAGGTGTTCCAGATGGCTCCTCTGACCTTCCACTAACAGGCAATTTATCAGCACAAGGACATGGAGGCTTTCTCATTAGTTTGTATTTTTGGGCCAAAAACAAATAGTAAAAGACAGACATCAGAATACAAGATGACAATTAAAAACAGTAACCCCTGGCTGTGAGGTACCTGAGGGCCACTTATGATCCTCTGTGCCTCGCAACACGAGGCAGCATGTGAGAGTGTTCCGAGCATTAATGTATGCATTCAGTGTTACTGATGACAAGCATTATGTGACCAATTAAGAGACAAAAGTGCTAAACACTCACCAGAGCAGGGTTTACGTCGGCACCTACTTTGGAATTTGGCCATTAGTAAAATATTTGTTTTGGCCAATTTTGATATGAATTTCGATTTGTGACATTATGACATATTCGTATAGTTTTTGTCGGTGAAAATTGTGTGTAATTCTTGTGATCCATTATCAATGTTTGTATCTTGTAAGTATTTTCTGGCTGCAGTTTCGCTATTGTTGTTGTGTGCAGTTACCATGGTTACTGATTTATATATTATTATACCTATATTACAACTTTATCATACCAATGTTACACCCACATTATACCCTTAGTACAGCCATATTACGGCATAATTACAATGATATGTTTATTATTTTGGACAGTTTTCTTTCAGAATTACATTCATGTTGTAATATCCTTACAGAAGACAAGAGGCTGTGTGGCCTTCATGGATAGAGAACCACAGCGACGCGTCCTAAAACCCGGAAGTAAACTTCTTCCGGTTCCTTCGTCAAAAACCAATGCAATTTCTCTATAGGATTTTGAGAAATAGCTCGAAATAAGGTCTGTGGTTGACACACATTTAAGAGAGGTTTCACGTTTTGTTCAGCCGGATAATCTCCACATGTCTACCCTACTTTTATGATTTTCTAATCATAAATCTAGTCGCCAGAAGCAAAATGCTAATGTTATGCTATAAACGAACTACAAGTGAGAACAGCACGGTCGCACGACTCAACGTCACGCCAACTTAAGATCGTTTCAACTGACTTTCGCGCGCTTGCATATTTTAACAAAGCTTTTCATTTGAGCCACTGAATTTCACTAGAAGTCATGGCTGTGCCAATTACCAGTCTGATATCGTTTTACAAAGATGACAAGAAGAGTGTAGATAGGAGAGAACCACTACAAGTCAGGACAAGTAAAACAGTGCAGCCTAGATGAAGGTGTGCTTACCGGTGTTGTCAGGGCTAGCATGAGAGACAAGGTTTATAGAGTGTCGGTGAGTAGTAGCAAGAGTACCGTTAACCTAGAGTTAATTTATTCACATTAGTGACATTAATTCCCATCAACAAATCCATTTGATGTGTCACATGAAATCTTTATTACAAATATTACACACCAGAAAACACAGAAATATCCATGAAATAAACATACAGTAGGCTATAAACAATTAAAGGGATAATTGGGAAGGCATTACAAATGTAAATATATTTTAAATAATAAAACAATCCCACCACCACAGGTATCTACAGGAGAAGAGGGAATTCTCTCCACAAAATGTGAATGCCCACGTGGAGAATGGAAATGCAGTCATGCGGCTGCATTAGCCATCTTTGCCATCCACAGTTTCAGCTGCACTGACACCCCCTGTCAGTGGAAGAAGCCAAAGGCAGCTAAACGTACGCATTCGGTGGAGGAGCTATTTCCTCCAACCAATAACTCATTCAACCCGCTGACAAGAGAGCCCACCTCCGAAGATCGTGACTGGCTGAGGGACAGACTCAGGGGCAGGTTCTCAGGAATTTCTTGGCTTCTCTCCCCCGAGCCAGAAGAGGAACACTACAGCTTGGAAACACTTAATGTTGGGCATCAGGGACCTGAGGCAATTGTGGCAAGCATGGCATTGTCTGAGGAGCAACAGAGGGCAATTCAGGTGGCTACCACTGGTCAGCGAACCAACCCAAACTGGCATTTGTTCAGGAAAGGAAGGGTGACTGCCAGCAACTTTGGAGCTGTCCTGAGGTCAAAGCGTGTGACTGCTTCCCTTATTGCCAGGGTGCTAGGGCAACAACAGGCCCTTGATGGTGTTTTGTCTGTACAGTGGGGGACTATGAATGAATGTGAGGGCGTCAGGGCATTCACCACTGCAACCCAGATGCAGGTCCATGAGTCAGGTTGGTGGCTCTCCCAATCAGGATTGTTGGGGGCATCTCCAGATGGTCTGGTAGGGTCTTCCGCTGTGCTGGAGGTAAAGTGTCCCCACGGAGCCAGGGAAATGACAATTAGTGAAGCATTGCAAATCAAGGGCTTCTGTGTCAGTAAGGAAGGAGAAACATTCAGCCTGCGTGAGGAACATCCTTACTGGCACCAAGTGCAAGGTCAGCTTCACCTCACTTGCTACTTTGTGGTCTGGACTACGAAAGACAGTGTCATCACTCCGATAGCCCGAGATGACAATTGGCAGCATAACCTGTTGGCTCTTGAGTACTTTTTCAAGGCCCACATGCTTCCAAAGCTGGCGCTACCGAAATAATCACCTTTGTCACTGTTGTGGTTATTTTATGAAAAAGACAGAAAAACCAAAAGGCATATGTTAAGCCCGAAGGTCCCCGCCGGCGGGTACTTTAGTTTTTTTTTTCACGACACTGTGTCTCAGGGGATCTTAATATTTAAGAACCTATTAATGTGTTATACCAGATTAACGGGAATAATCTCAGCTAACTGACAATACAAACAATTTTTACCAAAACAAAACACAAGTCTCATAAGAAGCATCTAAATGACCGCTGAGCGAAAAATGCTAACCTATTACTGCACCGATAATCACTCCGTCATAGCTCCCTTATTACTTATCCTAGGTGCACATCTAACACATCGTTTATGATCGCAAGGAGACACAGAATCTAACGGTGCCCATCTCAACACTGAAAGATACAAACTAGTGACGTTATCAACAAAAACGTACATCAAAACAAGTGGCGCTAGGTAGCCCACAACGCTAACATGGTTTACCTTCGTCTTTGTCTGGTCTAAACTGGTCTTCAATGGCATTAAAACGATAAAAACGATGGTGTAGTTAATCCATAGGTTAATCCAATGTGACTGCGTCCCCTTTGAAATGTTCTGATAATCCATAAGCAATAAAACAGCTTTTCCGTTGCTTGATATCAGAGCAGCGATATTTCTCCCCTCTGCTGAAAGCTAGTGATGTGTCGGTCGCGAACGAGCCGTTGTTCACTCTTTTAAGTGAACAACGGGAGCCGGCTCGCGCTCGCGAACGAGCCGTTTTTTTTTCTTTGTTAAATAATACAAGACAGAATGATGATGATGATCTCCGCGCTACAGCTGCTCCGTGCATGCATGCAGTCACATGTAATATCCAAGGATTAGAGACCCTTTTTTTCGTGTTGCACAGCATGATTTTAAAAGCAATGTATTTTTACTGGTAACGTGTTTCGTGCCTGCAGCACATCTTTTTCTCCGGTCGGGTCGTGGAAGACCGGAAGCTGTGTGGTTCATAAAAACATGTTCTTACTCAATATCAAGCCACAATTATTGCTTTTATTTTAAATCGTATAATTTCGGACTTTTGTTGCCTTCTGTGAGTAAAATAAATGGGGCTCAGAGCCTCAGGATACTGAAATCTGTATTTTTTAAATATTTTTTTTTCCTTCTAATTTGTTATTATTTTCTAAATAACACACTGTTATTTACTCACCAATAACACACAATTATCCTTGCTTTTATTTATTGGTTTAATTCCATAATCTCGGGCTTTTTTGGCATCCGTCAGGAACTGAATTTCAAAATAAAAATAACTGGAAACAGACGTAGGCATTTCGAGCGATTACCCAAGATCCTCAGCTATGGTTTAAGCTCGCTGATTGGATGTTTTAGCCGCAATGCATGCTGGGATATGGTGTTTATATTATATGAAATCCGGAAAACATTTTAAAAGAATAAAATAATACTTAATTCCGAGTGCTCTTGCTTTTCTCTTTGAAAGTCATCACATAACGGCATTGTAATACACGGTTCGGCTGCAATACATATTACAGATCTGCCGTAGTTCTTTATTTATAGAGCCCTGATGAGAAGACCTTTGGAAAAACTGAAGAAATGCCGCCGAAACTGAATACTTGACGTGGATCATAAATATATCAACAATTAAACATCTTCAATTTCTCTTCACACAATACGTCTCCTTGCAGTATCAACACTAATTCGGCTGACTTTTACATTTGATCTAATTTGTAGATAGGTTATATTTACACCATAACGGTGCACAGCTGATATAAAAGGACTTGTAGTTTTTAAAGATATTACTGATTTTCTTTGAATATAAGAATGTAAATACTGAGTCTGAAATAGTATAGCAATATTCAGGGCTCGAGCTTAAGGACGTCCCGTCGTCCCGGGGCCGAAAAAAATTGTGTCGGGGAGGATAAAAAAAAATTTTGGGACGAATTTGGGACGAGAGTTAAAATAAAAATACCCTGCTAACTCTACTACAAATAGCGATGAAAATGAAACCGACTGCACGTTTTGTGTAGCACATTAAACCTCCTTGTCAACATAAACACACGCACAAAACATTTAGAAACCCGCGAAATACACACACATGTAGCTACAGCTGTGCCGCTGGCTGTCAGCCAGCCGCCCAGCTGGCTGTGCCCGCGAATTCCTGGCCCGCAAATTCGCGGGTCCAGCTATGTACTGAGTGTGTGTATTTCGCGGGTTGAGTGATGTACAATGGCATCCCGCGGAGGAATTCTGAAATGTTTTACCGTTACATCACAAAAACGCACAGCAGAACCAGACCTTGGAGCGCCGGCCTCTTTATTTACTTACTCCTCTTCATCCCCTTTGGGTAATAAGGCTGAGATGAGAACCCTCCATCGTATTTAGTCCTTAGCAATATGCTGCGCCTCTCCCCATGTAGGGATGGGTACCGAGCCCCGGTATTAAACGGGCCGGAATTATTAAAGACAGTGGTAACGTTAAGCTCCGACGTTATCGGACTTTTTATCGGTACTGGAGACATTTAAAAAAGATATGTTATATGTATTATTGCTACATACACATTATATCGCAGTTTTAGTTTCACCAACTCCGTTTCTAATATGCAATAAGACTACAACATGCGTCTTTGATGTATTTTCGAGCTTTCCAATCCAGACGAGATCTCTCTCTCCCGTCTGTGTGCGAGGGGGCGGGGCCATTTGTAAAGGTCTCCTGACTGTGTTACAGACTGTCATCCTGGTTAGTGGTTACTCTGGGTTCTGTCTTCAGGACAGTGTTGGATTTTTTTGTTAATTGGATGGGACTTGATTGGATTCAATATTAGAGTAATTTTCTCGTTTGTGTGTTTGTTTAAATATATTTGGCCTTTGTTTATGTGATTGAATGATTTACTCAAATAAAAAGGTTGATGAATTATCATCTAATGATTTGTATGATGTTTTATTTATGTTAAAGGTCACTTTGAATGATTTTAACTAATGATAATGTAGAAAAACTAACATTTTAAATTCGGGACGGTCCACATTAATTTCGGGACGGCTTAGATTGTATTTCGGGACGGTTCCGGGAGGATGGGGAAAAAAGTTAGTCGAGAGCCCTGAGCAATATGCTGTAAAATTATGTGAAAACATGAATAAAACTACACATCTTCAGATGTTGTACATACATAAGTGTCCTACACTAATAATACAAAGTTATTATGGCTGTGTGTACCGCCTAGTGGTTGAAGCATGTTATTGAATTATTGTTTTTATGTGTTATATATGATTAAACAAATATTAAAAGTACATACTTTCATAGGGGGAAAGTAGAAGGTCTGTGATAGAAATATAGAATATAAAAAATCAAGAAGATACTGTAAGTGATCTCTACAATAAAACAGTTTAGTGCAGGATGTACAAAGATATTAATAGGAGGATGTGCAAAACAGAAAAACGAATTAACCTTTATTTAAACATTAAATAACAGATTAAGGTCTTCTTTTAAATAAGAAAAAAACGTTGGGGGTATCTATCTACAGATAAATATTAAGCCTGACAAAGTACTTAACGTCTAATATATTGCTTTCCTGCAATGTTAACTATGTTGAAGCACTTATTTTAACTGATATTATACATATGAATTATACTCTTATGTATGTAGATAGAATAAGAAATGTGCAGAATATGACAGTTTAATGGTGGTGGTACACACATATTGATAGATGTCTTGTAATGCCCTGTTGAGGAACCTGCGACCCAAGTTGTTCATTGATTGCATAACTACACCGTAGTTGTGTATATGATATGTCAATAAACCTTAGAAAATCTTGAAATCTTGAAAGAGATGTGCAAAATAGCCATAATATACAGTCTTTAATTAACTATTAGTAGAGAATAACGAGTAATGAATATACTTTATTACTCGTTTCCATTCATGTCAATTGCAGATACATGTTTAGTCTTCTCAAGCACCAACAATCAAATATCTCTCCTGATTGTTGGCACTTGACAATCACCTTATCTGAATTGTACTCAGGTGTAACTAAAGTCTGATTTAAGGGTTGTTTATATTTCACATCATTAATCAGAATCTGCAAAGTAACTCAAATAAGTGTAGTGGAGTAAAAATACCAGGTTAACCTCTGAATTGTAGTGGAGTAGAATTACAAAGTAACAATGAGCCGTCATGTGGGTATATATTAATAGTGCGCATTATGGACACAAGCGATTTTCACCCATTTATTAATTATATGTTTTACATTTGATAACACCAATGTGTTTAATACTGGCAACTTCTAATTGTGGGAAAAACGAAAACGTTCAGTAGAGACGTCCCATAGAACATTTTGCGAAACACAATAGCCAGCATGTGTAGTTCTGGGGGGCGTTCGATTCCAGTTTTGGATAGTCTGCCGTGGTTTCGTTCCATTTCACACAGCTGTTTTACGCTCGGCGTAACCTTGGCGCACTACCACTCCAACATCCAATCCCAAAGTTTGAAGATTAATCACAGGGACTGTAGTCCTAAACGATAGCTAGGGATTATGGGTAGTGTAGTGTCTTCGGCCATCCTAAACTCAGAAATGTTGACAATCGCAATGATGCTCGAAATGTCCCTTATAAGCAGGGGTGCACATAACTTTTTTGCCCTGGTTCTCAAAAAAGCACCTGGAGATGTTGCTTGGTGCTCATCCTTAAAATGAAATAAACCGTAACTTTTGAGGGGGGCTTGACTTTATTTGCCAGACACATGGCACTGAACACAAATGCAGAGGTGAACACAGAACACACATGCAGAGGTGAACACAAGACAACATTAGCACGACCAGTAATCCTACAAGCTGTCATCACTACCCTCCTGTTCTCCTCTCTGTCTTCCTCTCTGTCAGACATGGTAGCTGATGATGTAGGCCTACTTCTTTCTCTCTGGTTGAGTCTGCGATTAGCTGCTTGCATAGTCAACAGCTGGTTTTGGGTCGAAAGTCTCTGTTGTGATCATCTTAGACAAGAGGATGTAATCAAATAAGTATGTGAACATAACTAATAACCTACCATAGCCAATAACAAATGAATGTAACTTATTGTATTTGTGTTGTTCATTAATATTTTATTTTACCTTAACATTTATTTATTTATGCATTTTTTTGTATCTCTCCAGTTTTAAAGGATATTTTTGGTTACTGTCCTATAGTATACATTGGAATGATTTCAAAACTGTTTATCCCAATAATTATAAAGGAGTGCCTTGAAAATATGTGTTTACATAAATTGTGACCAAACCGTTTGAACTTAGACTAAAGTGAACTATCTAAACACTCAGTCCTTTACCTCACTGAGCTGTAGTATCAGCCTCTCAGTCTGACTGGAGAGGACTCTCCCTCCACATCATTGTAGAAACATCTTCTTCTTATATCCGTTAGAGCAGCAAGCACGGCACCAGATTATAATAACAACAGCGCTGGTACCGGTGCACCCTCCCTCTCTCCCTCGCATTTTGGCTGTGAGCTCAGAGCTGCGGGCGCCAGATAAGACAACATCCCCCATTTTCATCACTTACAGCGCCCATCGTACAGGGCAAATGAAACGTGTAACCGGGGTGAAAAGGGTGTTACATTTACTTAATTATGAATGTTGTTACATCAAGGCCGAAAATTAGGATGAGCCCCAACGGTCAAAAATGTTTGTTTCCCTCCCAGAACTGCCAGCGCAGCACCTCCACAGATTTGGCGCCCTAGGCGAACATCTAGCCAGTGCTACGCGCCGGCCCTGAGTTCATATCATGGTTATGCAACTCGCAACTCGCAAATCTCTCTCTCTCTGTCTGTCTGTCTGTCTGTGTAGCCCTGCTTATAAGCCTACGTCTGTTTCCGGTTATTTTATTTTGAAATTCAGTTCCTGACGGACGCCAAAAAAGCCAGAGATTATGGAATTAAACCAATAAATAAAAGCAAGGATAATTGTGTGTTATTGGTGAGTAAATAACAGTGTGTTATTTTGAAAAGAATAACAAATTAGAAGGAAAAAAAGATTTAAAAAATACAGATTTCAGTATCCTGAGGCTCTGAGCCCCATTTATTTTCCTCACAGACGGAAACAAAAGTCCAAAATTATACGATTTAAAATAAAAGCAATAATTGTGTCTTGATATTGAGTAAGAACATGTTTTTATGAACCACACAGCTTCCGGTCTTCCACGACCCGACCGGAGAAAAAGACGTGCTGCAGGCACGAAACACATTACCAGTAGAAATACATTGCTTTTAAAATCGTGAAGATTTTGTGGTGTCTAGACAGTTGTGTTAAGTTAATTTATTTAGTTCAGTCCTTTTGTCTTTTGCCTTGTCTTGTGATTTCCTGTTTTATTTTGTAGTAACCTTTCCCTCTCGTTTCAGAGCATTCCTGCCCTGGTGTGTTTTTCCCACCAGTGTGATTGTCAGCCCCTCCCTTAATTGTTGCCACCTGTGTATATATAGTCTGCGTCTCCCTTTGTCTTGTGTCAGTTCGTCTTGTCTCGTCAAGCCTGCCAGTCATCCCTTGATCGTGTGAAGTATATTTTTGATAGTCATGTAGATGTTTTTTGGTTTAGAGTTTTTGATCCTCCAAGTGAGCGTTTTGTATTTGACCTTAATTAAAAGACCTTGTTAATTCTAATCTGTTTCTGGTGTTGTGCATTTGGGTCCTGAGCCTCGTGACATTCTTAACAGTACGAACTGACCAAAGAATGGACCCAGCCGACCCAGACAGGTTCAGAGCAGCTCTGCGCTCACAAGGCACGCTTTTGTCTCAGCATGACGATCAGCTGAAATCAATTGACCAGGGAGTGAGAGAATTGAGTGGTCGTCAAGAAAGCTTCCAAACATCTGTGAACAGCCAAGTAAACCACCTGGCAGATCAGCTTGTTCGTGTCCTTGCCCACCTGGAAGCTGGATCTCAAACTGTTTCCGCGGCTGCACCCCTGCCTGAGGCTGTGATCCAAGGACCTACTTCTTCTTCATGCTCTCGTCTCGCATCTCCAGAGAAATTCTCCGGTGACTCAGGTGACTGTCGTCCTTTTTTAGTCCAATGCGACCTGCATTATCAACATCAGCCTTCTGCTTTTCCAACAGACCAGTCTAGAATAGCTTTCATGATAACACACTTGACTGGTAGAGCAGCAGCGTGGGCTACAGCAGAATGGGCTAGAGACTCTCCCCTTTGCAGATCACTCGGACTGTTTACTGATTCCCTTAAAAAGATTTTTGATCGTACAGCGCCAGGGAGAGAAGCGGCTAAAGCTCTAGTTCAACTCAAGCAAAGAAATCAAAGAGTGTCTGATTATGCCATAGAGTTTAGGACAATAGCAGCAGACAGTGGCTGGAATGATCTGGCCTTGCTGGACGCCTTTGTAAATGGACTTTCAGGCCTTGTCAAAGATCACTTAGTCACATTAGATCTTCCAGAAGATTTAGACTCTGTGATTGCTCTGGCTATACGAATAGATAATAGGCTCTGGGATAGACAAAAAGAAAGAGAACATCCTGCAGTTCGTTCACCAAGCTCCAGGGGGCCTCCTCGTGGCATCCGGATGAGGGAGGATTCGTTTCCAGGGGTCTGGATCAAGCCTCCTTTGACAACGCCATCCACCACATCAGAGGAACCCATGCAACTTGGCCGAGCAAGACTTTCACTGGAGGAGCGGGAACGGCGCCTCCGCCAGGGCCTGTGTTTCTACTGCGGGCATCGTGGACACCTGATGGCCGCTTGCTCACTAAAAGACGGGGCTCCCCAGGCAAGAGGAGGGCGCTGGTGAGCCGACTAACTTCTGACTACTCTCCTCGTACGCTGACTCCTATCCAAGTAAAATTAGGTAAGAAAACCTTAACACAGAATGTTCTCATTGATTCAGGAGCAGACGAAAGTTTTATGGACTGGAATTTTGCCAAAAGCTTGAACATTGTCACCATGCCCTTAGCTCAACCTTTAAATGCCAGTGCCCTTGATGGAAGATTATTGTTTCAAGTCACTCACCACACAGAACCCGTCCAGGTTATCATAAATCACAACCACACAGAATTCATGACATTCCATTTATTCGACTCCTCACAACACCCTATGATTTTAGGCTTCCCATGGTTGAAAAGACATAACCCTCACATTGACTGGCGTTCTGGTAGGGTGAAGGGTTGGGGAAGATAATGTAATCATACATGTTTGGTTTCACCAGGAGAAGTTGAAGGGCTGTCTGTAGGAAGGGTTACTTCAGGTAGTGAGGTGGAGACGAAGGAAGTAACTCATGACCATGCCTCTGACTTACCAGACCTGCCCAATGTTCCCTCCTGTTACCACAACCTGAGGGAGGTTTTCAGTAAGACTCGGGCCTCTACGTTGCCTCCTCATCGACCTTATGACTGTGCAATTGACTTACTACCGGGTGCCCCCATTCCCAAGGGACGTCTATACTCAATTTCTGGTCCTGAAAGACAATCTATGACGGATTACATTGACTCATCTCTGAAGGCGGGCCTCATTCGTCCATCGTCATCTCCTGCTGGCGCCGGATTTTTCTTCGTGGGTAAAAAAGACGGATCCCTCCGACCCTGCATAGACTACTCTCCCCTGAATGATATAACGGTAAAAAACAGGTACCCTCTCCCCCTCATTTCCACTGCTTTTGAACTGTTAAAAGGAGCTAAGATCTTCACTAAACTTGACTTGAGGAATGACTATCACTTGGTCAGGATAAGGGAGGGGGACGAATGGAAGACTGGATTCAATACCCCCAGTGGCCACTATGAATACTTAGTAATGCCATTTGGGCTAACTAATGCTCCTGCTGTATTTCAGGCTCTTGTGAATGACGTGCTCAGACAATATTTGAATCATTTTGTGTTTGTCTACCTGGATGATATATTGATATTCTCTCCTGATGAAGAGTCCCATGTTCAGCATGTCCGCCAGGTCCTCCAAGGCCTTCTGGAAAACCAACTATTCGTGAAGGCGGAGAAATGTGAATTTCACAAGACCACTGTCTCATTCCTGGGCTTCATCATTGCTCCGGACCAGGTCAAGATGGATCCAAGCAAGGTCAGTGCTGTCGCAAATTGGCCCACACCCACCAACAGGAAGAAGGTACAGCAATTTCTCGGTTTTGCTAACTTCTACAGACGTTTCATAAGACATTTTAGCTCCATAGCTGCACCTCTCCACTCACTCACCTCAACCCATGTTCAGTTTTTGTGGACTCTACAGGCCGACAAAGCTTTCCAGGAATTGAAAAGACGGTTTACCTCTGCTCCTGTTCTCATCACTCCTGATTCACTACGGCAGTTTGTGGTGGAGGTGGATGCTTCCAATGATGGAGTTGGGGCTGTGTTGTCACAACGTTCAGCCAAGGACAGCAAACTTCACCCATGTGCTTTTCTGTCACGTAAGTTAACACCTGCTGAACGCAACTATGATGTAGGCAACAGAGAACTTTTGGCAGTCAAAACAGCGCTTGAGGAATGGAGACACTTTCTGGAGGGGTCAGAGCAACCATTCATAGTCTGGACGGATCATAAAAATCTTGAGTACATCCGAAAAGCTAAGAGACTGAACTCACGTCAGGCAAGATGGGCTTTGTTCTTCACTCGTTTTAACTTTTCCTTGTCATTTAGACCCGGTTCACAAAATGTCAAGCCAGATGCACTCTCGTGTTTTTGATCCTGAACCCTCGGCAAAGGAACCAAAGCTCATCCTTCCACTAAACTGTGTGGTTGGAGCGGTAACTTGGCCAATAGAAACAGAGGTGAAACGAGCTAACGGTGAGAGCCCGACACCTAGGGGTTGCCCCCCAAATAGGTTGTTTGTTCCTCAAACTGTGCGTCCTAAGGTCATTCAATGGGCTCACACCTCGCTGCTCACCTGTCATCCTGGGGTAAAAAAAACCATGTACGTCATCAAGCAACGGTTCTGGTGGACATCTATGGAGAAGGATGTCAAGGAGTATGTGGCCGCCTGCACCATCTGCGCCAGGAATAAGACCTCTTCCAGGCCCCAGATGGGTCTGCTCAGGCCGCTGCCTATCCCCAGTCGGCCCTGGTCCGACATCTCAGTGGATTTTGTCACCGGACTGCCAGAATCCAAAGGTAACACCACCGTCCTCACGGTGGTGGATAGATTCTCTAAAATGACACATTTTATTGCTTTGCCTAAACTGCCATCGGCCAAAGAAACGGCTGAAGTGTTGTTGCACCATGTTTGTCGTCTCCACGGTTTTCCCAAGGACATCGTGTCAGACCGGGGTCCTCAGTTTGTCTCCCGTTTCTGGAGGGAGTTTTGCAGCCTCATCGGGGCCTCTGTCAGCCTCTCTTCCGGTTACCATCCCCAATCAAATGGACAAACGGAGAGACTGAATCAAGAACTGGAAACCTGCCTCCGGTGCCTGGTGTCCCAAAACCCAGCTTCTTGGAGTAAACACCTCACGTGGGTAGAATACGCCCACAACTCATTGCCTACCTCTGCCACCGGATTGACCCCGTTCCAGTGCGTCTACGGTTACCAACCTCCCATGTTCTCAGAGACAGAGAAATAAGTCATGGTTCCCTCGGCACACGCACTGGTCAGGCGCTGTCATGGCATTTGGGCTTCAGCACGTCGGGTCCTCCTTAGGACTTCGGCCCGCATGAAAAAAGCGGCTGATCGGCATCGCCGTCCTGCACCTGTGTACAGACCGGGTCAGAAAGTGTGGCTATCCACCAGAGACTTGCCCCTGAACGTAGTCTCTAGGAAGCTGGCACCAAGATTTGTAGGCCCATTCACTGTGGAAAAGTGTATTAACCCTGTGTCTGTTCGTTTGCGCCTGCCTAGATCACTCAGAGTCCATCCAACATTCCACGTAAGCAAACTCAAGCCGGTCAAGGAAAGCAAAATGGTTCCCGCTTCCAAGCCCCCCCCTCCTCCCAGGCTCATTGATGGAGGTCTGGTCTACACTGTCAAGCGTCTGCTGAAGGTCAGAAAACGAGGAAGGGGTCAGCAGTTTTTAGTGGACTGGGAGGGTTATGGACCGGAAGAGCGGGAATGGATCCCGTCTAGCTTCATCGTGGACCAGAACCTAATAAAGGATTTTTACAAAAGCCATCCTGAACTCGCTGGGCCGTCCGGAGCCGTCCGTAAAGGAGGGGGTACTGTGGTGTCTAGACAGTTGTGTTAAGTTAATTTATTTAGTTCAGTCCTTTTGTCTTTTGCCTTGTCTTGTGATTTCCTGTTTTATTTTGTAGTAACCTTTCCCTCTCGTTTCAGAGCATTCCTGCCCTGGTGTGTTTTTCCCACCAGTGTGATTGTCAGCCCCTCCCTTAATTGTTGCCACCTGTGTCCCCTTACCTAGTGTGTATATATAGTCTGCGTCTCCCTTTGTCTTGTGTCAGTTCGTCTTGTCTCGTCAAGCCTGCCAGTCATCCCTTGATCGTGTGAAGTATATTTTTGATAGTCATGTAGATGTTTTTTGGTTTAGAGTTTTTGATCCTCCAAGTGAGCGTTTTGTATTTGACCTTAATTAAAAGACCTTGTTAATTCTAATCTGTTTCTGGTGTTGTGCATTTGGGTCCTGAGCCTCGTGACATTCTTAACAGATTTTGCAAGACGAAAAAAAGGGGTGAACACGAATAAATAGATTAAAAATCGTGTTGGTGAACGCGAATCAATAGATTAAAAATCGTGTTGGTGAACACGAAATGCCATGAGACTGGTTGATCAGAGAGTTACAAGGGTCTGTAACTGCAATGAAAACAATTGGCCACAGCAAATCATTTATATTAAACATATCATTTTTACTTTTGAATAATTCAAAGGATGTATTGAATCATTTAAGTGATATATGTGTACACATATAAATCAATAGTCAAAACAGGGCTACATTTGATTTATTTATAAAAGGTATAATATGTGGTAAACTGAAGAGCCGTTTGGGAGCTCTTCTTGGTGAGCCGAGCCAAATGATCCGAGAAGAGCCGGAATTCCCATCACTACTGCAAGCTAGCATGTGCAGAGATGCCACCTTTTTTTTAACATGACTGTGTGCGGGACGATTTCCCTTGGATTATATTGGCTCTAACGGTCAGAAAGAGATGTCACATGTCAAAATCGAACAAGGGGGGCCAGAGATATGGAAAATCCACCCAAATGACCCCAGAAGAGGTTTATTTTGCTAAATCTGTCTAAAAAGGTCAAATTTAACTTGTTTTGCATCAATCTTGATACAGGGTACTTATTATATGTTTTACTTTGGATTCCTAAAGCTTTTAGTCTACTAACCCATCATCCAAGGTTAGTTTTCACTATAAGTACAACATGTGTTTTGGACGGACACTATAATTTACAGTTCTTTACCATGTTCAATCTGAATTTTCTTTAAAATAAAAAATATCTATATTGATTCTGACTTTTCTACATCCAACTCACAGGTTTATCATTACTTTGAGAAAAAAGATTATTAATTTAACCCTTTTAGAAGGGAAGATATGGTTATTTGTTCTGGGAATGTCATTTTCGAGCCTGAAACCTGAAAAACAGGCTTGGGGCCTAACAGGTTAATGTACTTGTTCTGAGTTCAGAGAGCACTGCTGTTAAAATTAAATATTTTTTTTAGAGAAAACTCAGCTTCAGGATGTTATGGTTCCCCTTTGAAGATCTTTCTTGTAGCTGCTGCGATCCTTGTTTGAGTCGTTCATATGTCCGATGAAAAAGATTATAAATCTATCATTTTCAAATATAGTACTTTTGTCACGGCCCAAACTGTGTCCCTGGGTCCTTCTCACTTCGGTTAAATGGATTCCTTGCGTTCCTCACTTGCGTCGTTTCCCTGTGACTAGTCCCTCCCACCAGGGAAGCGTGGAGAGATGCAAGGAAACCACGAGAAGCAGGGAAATGAGTTTTAAGAGCAATGGGACGTCCTTTCCTCCGGAGCGTCACGTGAAGCGACGACCGTTTGTGATGACGCTGCACAGCTGATCGTCTGACAGCAGCTCTGTCCCCATTATTTTCACAAACACCCCCGCCTCTGTTAGCACACATTTACTGACACAAACATGTGTATCATCTGTTGTAGACCCCAATAAATAAAATAAAATAAGAACTCATTCTCAAAAAAGATAAACGCCATTCTTAAAATGTATTGAAAAAAGCGATCATGAAAATGTTTCCAATAAATGAAGAAAATTATTTTTGACCACTTTGTTGTTCAGATATATCACATATTTGTAACTAAATGATACATGAATTGAAACAAAACACGGTATAAACTGAGGAGTGAGTCCCGTGAGGTTCATGTGTTTTCTTCACTCCGCTGGGAAACTGCTCTCATGTTAAGAAGCATCAGATCAGTGCATGCACTGCCTCGTCCAATCAGTGAGCGATACACAGTAAGGGGGCGGGGCGAGTGTCTGCGGATTTCATCGAAGGATGGTCTGGTGGTTCCTCGGTTATAGCTCCTCTGGCAAAAATTAGGCCATTGGGACGCTACTCAAGATGGCGCAGACAAATCAACTTCCGGTGAGACCGAGACCGAGGAGCGAGGAAATGAAAAATAAGAGAAGTGAGAAGGGCCCCTTGTGTCCCTGTGTGTTCCCCTGTGTGTGTGTGGAGGGGGTGTGGTTTCCCTTGCAGGCAGCAGTCTGATTGCTCTCACCTGGCCGTCCGACTCAGCTGTCCCTCATCAAGCCAATCAGGACACAGCTTATCTACTCCAGTCTCCCAGCAACTCACCGCCAGATTGTTTTCTACACCAGTGGTATTACATCCTCCTGGCTGCTCCATTCAGTTATCCTGTCTGCGTGTTATTCTGTACTTTTTGTAATTAGTTTCTCCTTGTGTTTCCAGTGCAATTCCCCCGGCCATCATCCACCAGAGCTTCCAGCCAACATGCCTGCTTCTTCCTTCACCATACCTGCCTGCCTTGTTCTCAGTCCAGCCTGAACTGCCTACCTCCACTCCGAACCTCCATAGTCACCAAACCTGCCTGTGTCTCCGAACAATAAACCTTTTAAACATCTTCAGTCATTGCCTG